AGTGACGTAGCAATGACGTCACTGCAATAACGAGGGGTCATTAATTATTGCGTCACTTTTATCAAAACTTATCGAGGAAAGGATTTGGGGCCTGGGAATTTATAATACTATGAGGAAAAATGACACCTCAGACTTCCTATTGACTCTATAGAAGCAGTTTCGTATCTCTGCCTTAAATAGCTGGTAGCTAGTGCCATTCAAACAGACTTCCTATTGACTCTATAGAAGCAGTTTCGTATCCCTGCCTTAAATAGCTGGTAGCTAGTGCCATTCAAACAGACTTCCTTTGACTCTCTAAAGAAGCAGTGTATTGTATCCCTGCCTTAAATAGTCCTCGACTTATAGAATGTGTTCACGCGACAGAATACCCAGAAAACTTCATAAACAGCAGTATTTTATAAAGCATACCTTGTCTGACAAGACGTAAATTGAAATATTCCCGGCTGCTTGTTTTTCCAGGAAGGTCAAGACTCCGAATGTGGGATATATATCAAGGCTTGCGTCTGTATCACTAAGGATAACCCATGAGACATCCACAGTATCAAAGGTAYCTTTATTCCGCTGCACTTCAAAACTGACTGTGGTGTTTTCTTCTTTTACCTCAGCTAAAATACGATCAGAAAGTAACTCTATTTTTTTATCCCCATTTGCGGGGAAATAAGTTTAAATTTCAATTAGGTGTTTCAGTGGCACACTATTGAACAGAAAAGATAATCGAACATCAGTCAGTCCAACTAGTGGTCTATCATCAATGCTGCGTCCTGATTGGATGAGCTACTACTAGGCTACAGTATGAGTTATAGCCTACTAGTAGCGAAAAGTGCCGACTTTGAAAACCAAAACATAAAATTTAACTTTAACTCAAAACTTTTTTGCATTTAAATATTTGACCGACTAGTTGCATTTGACTCAAACAATTAGTCCTCTCGCCCTCATGGATTGAAAACTCGAGGATTAACATTCTCACCAAAAAAACGAGAACAGACGACTCACTACTAAATAGAGATTCACATGTTAACGAACGGTTATCAGGTACTTACCCACACGCTTGACAGAGTCCCGAGCAGCGAATTCAATGACACCATACGGGTCATCATTGGCGGGAATGGTGATGTTTATCRTTATGTTCTGACCCAAAGTCCCTGGTGAATACTTTGGTGACTGATATTGATACAGGACAAGAGTATAGTGCTCGTCAATCTGAAACAACAACAAGCATAGATTTAATTAAGGTACGTGACTCACACAAAATTGCGAGTGAATTTAGCAATTTTTAAACTCGCTCGTTTTG